AATTCCATTCTTGGAAACATTTTTCAAACTCATCTGTTTGGATGGCTGACAGCACCTCCCTCATTTTTTTCTTCTTCACCTCTTCTACGCCGTCAAATCATTGTCCTTTCAAGTCTCTCTACATTCACAAAAACAAAAAGAAGTTGCACAGAGCGAGGTCAGGTGAGTAACATGCAAGAGAACATTTGCTGTTTTTTGCCCAAAACTGGCGCACCGAGATGGTGTCATGGTGGCAAAATCAGTCCCCAGTCTGCCACAAATCAGGTCTGTTTGGTGACATACTGTTCTGCAATCTTTTCAGAATCTCTAAATAGGAACCTTGAGTAACAGTCTGACCTGGTGGAATGTAATCTGTGTTACTCTGGGTAGACTAGAGATACAAATCCAGAGAGACTCATATATATTTAAGAAAGAGCTTTATATAAAAGAGCAATTATATATTGAAAAAAAACATCAAGTCCATAAATCTGATATTAGCCCATATGTCCGATACTAGTCCATGAATTCTTCTTTAGACTCACGCAGCCATGCACTGATGCCAAATGCAGGAAGATCACAAGCCAATGGGTGGAAAGTCTTATGGGTTGGTAGTGAAAACATCTTAGTGCAGGCATGGGTCTCCACGTGGCTCCTCCAGCTCCTGGAGTCTGGCTCCATCAGCACAGCTCCATGTGGCTTGACAGCAGGAAGAGGAAGCAGAAGGTATATATCCTGCATCCAGGGAGGAAGACTGGAGTTCCCAGAATCCTCAGGCCATGTCCCCACAGAGGATTCATTGGCTCTGACCTGTTTGACAAGATAGACTCCACCCCTTCACTTAAGTTGACAGGCGATTATGTAACTGCCACACACACCAAATGTACTACAAGTTGATACTTCCACCCATTCAGGAAATTGATGGGTATCCAGAACGAGGTTTTTCATCAATGGACATTTCATCTTTTTTGAAACAGGAAAATCACTCATACACTTGAATTTTTCCCATAGCACTGTTCTTGTAAGCTGTGTTCAACATCACAACAGTTTCTGCAGCATTTTTCCTGAGCAGGAAACAAAATTGAACCCTGCATGCTGTTCTCTTAAATTGGCCATCACAAAAAATGAGGTTTGAGCAAAATTGCTTTTAGGAAAAAATTCACTGTGACCAGAGAGAACCTTCCCAGACTGGGTGCACTAACTCAGAGCCAGTTGCTCAATGCTCACCTAGTGGGGAAAATGGGTACTACGGAAGCTCTGCCCAGAGGAATATTTTTCCTTTTTTGGAGGGGGGAGGGGCTACCCCCAGGGGTACCCCCTCATATGCAGTGTTTTGTTTTTCTAAAATATTTTATTGAGGGCTCTCACAGCTCTTGTAACAATCCATACATCAATTGTATCAAACACATTTGTACATATGTTGTCATCTTTATTTTCTAGACATTTATTCTTTTTTAAAAAATTATTTATTTATTTAAAATAATTTTATTAGGGGCACATACAACTCTTATCACAATTCATACATACATCAATTGTGTAAAGCACATTTGTACATTCACTGCCCTCATCATTCTCAAAACATTTGCTCTCCACTTAAGCCCCTGGCATCAGCTCCTCATTTTCCCCCTCCCTCCCCACTACCCCTCCGTCATGAACCCTTGATAATTTATAAATTATTATTTTGTCATATCTTTCCCTGTCCGACGTCTCCCTTCACCCACTTTTCTGTTGTCAGTCCCCCAGGGAGGAGGTTATATGTCGATCCTTGTAATTGGTTCCCCCTCTCCATCCCACGCTCCCTCCACACTCCTGGTATCGCCACTCACACTACTGGTCCTGAAGGGAGCATCCGCCCTGGATTCCCTGTGTTTTCAGTTCCTGTCTGTACCAGTGTACATCCTCTGGTCTAGCCGGATTTGTAAGGTAGAATTCGGATCATGATAGGTGGGGGTGGGAGTAGGGAAGCATTTAGGAACTAGAGGAAAGTTGTATGTTTCAGCGTTGCTACACTGCACCCCGACTGGCTGTCTCCTCCCCGTGACCCTTCTGTAGGGGACATATGCAGTGTTTTATCCAATCACAGATACTGTGAATTATGTGTTCTCCTATGAAGAAGGAAGACGGAAAAGTATGCTCCTAATGAAATAATTTACGATTTTCAAATATAAAATGTCTTTAGTTCTGAGATTGAAAAGTGTGGGAAAAACTGCACACTTGCGCGGATGAGATGCAGGTTTTTAGGCTAGACCTCTTCCTCCAACTCCAAGCCTGTGTGGCCACTTGGATTTCTCACAGGCTTCTTAAACTTATTTTTTGGATGGCAGTTCGGTGATGCTTAAATATGTGAAGGAGGGCAGTGTCCAACGTCTCAGTCAATTACTGCATTTGTTCTATTTGGGGTTAAGAATAGTCCCCGTGGTCTCCAAGAAGTCTTATGAGTACCCAATAAAATAATTTAGGGGAAAGTGGTTTGTCCATAATAAGCAATCGCTAATATTTATTGGGCACTTACAGTTCTAAGTGCTTTGTATATTTCAACTCATTTCATCCTCACAGCAATCCTATAAATGCTATTATCTCGTTCACTCTGTACCTAAGATAACGGATGCGAAGAGGATGAAATACTGCCCACGGGTTGAAGTTAGTAAGGGGCAGAGAGGGGATTACTGGCACTCAGTTCAGGCGGGGCACCTAGCTCCCGTCCTACTTTCTGCAGCGAGCCTCCACCGTTCTTTTAATCGTGGCGTACACAATCCAGTCTGTTACGTACCTCCTGTAAGTCGATTATCTAACATCGGCCCCCTTCGTCAGTTATCATCAACTAGTTTCTAATTGCCTATCTTACGACAGCCCTGTCACAGAGAGGTCCGGGCACTCAGCCCGCCTCCCATCCCATTCCAACACGGTGTCCGGTCCACGGCCTGGTCCCGGAGGAAAGCCCCGCACGGCGTATACGCTGCGTTTCGAAGGGATCCGTGGTATCTATCTTGAGATGTGGAATGGTTTTCCCGAGACGGAAACGAGAGATACAGCCACGAGTGCCCATAAGACGCTAGCGCTGGGCGACGGCCGGGCTCGCTCTTCCTCCGGCGGCCGCCCGGGCCCGGAACCTTTGGGCGGCGGCGGCGGCGGCGGCCCGCCGGGCCGGGTTCCCGAGCACGCCACCGAGCGCGGAGGGTGGTCCAACGACATGCCTGCAGCTCGGGTTTGTGCGCACCACATCCTCGCACTTTTCAAAGTACTCGCCGACTTTTGGAAAAGGGCTTCCCAATGATACCACTGTCTCCCTTCAAAACGATCCTAACAAAATACCTTTAAGTCAGTTGCTTCTCTTCCTTTCGTCAGGCATATGCCTAGACAGCCCCTGTGAAACGAGTCAAGAAGGCGGGGAAAAGAAAGCGGAAGTCGCGGGCCTTCTAAGCCAAAAAGTCTCCGGAGCTTGCGCTGGGTTTTTCGGCCCCCACCCCCCCCACCCGCGCCCCCTACTTAGACGCAAGCTGGGACGCGGGCGGGGGAGAAGGCGTTGCTGCCGGAGCTGAGACCGGGCGGCCCGAGTCCGCAGGGATGAACCTCGAGTTGCTGGGTGAGGAAGCCCATGACTGCTTCTTAGAGAACCCCACGATCCCAGAAAGGAAGGCGGGAGGAGGCACAGGCTCCATCCTTAGGGGAGCAGCCGCTGATCGGAAGCAGCATCAGCTTCACGGGGAAGCCCAGCTCTTGCCCGAGCAGCGTGCATTGCCTTTCCGGAGGAGGCCACTTGGAGATTAATCGTGGAGCGATGTAGACTCTGGGTGACTTAGTTGTGATTGCAAGTATGTCAGGTGCTGAAGTAGCCCAGAGCAAGCAGCACCGGAGTTGTTGGAAAAAGAATCTAAGGAAGGGAGACTTAGACTGAGGCTTTGAAAACTTGCTAGCGCGTTAGGTGCTAACCCATGAATGTCTGTGGAAGGGAATTAAACATCTAGTAGAAACGGCACATTAAGCCGATAAGAAAAGGCTCAGAATATAGGGAAGGGACTTAAAGTACTGAGCAAGTTAACCGGGCATAGTTAGCGCTGGAATCCAGTTATCTTCACTTCCTCTTTAAACTCCTTAAGTACCGAGGCTTGAAGTCCAGGGCAGTTACTACTTGCCTTGAGTCATCCGCTGTTATTTTCCCCTAGCCCCATGCACTATGCGTTTGGAAAGTAGGTCAGAAAACTGATGTGTAGCATGATAGCATAGGAATGCCTGAGAAAGCTTTGAAGAACCTCCAAGCGACTTGCTGTCTTTAATGGTGACGTTTGTCCTTTAAAAAGGAAGAAAGCAAGCAACATTTTAGAATTAACTACTTAAAAAAAAAAGAATTAACTACTTGTGGTGGTAGTAGTGATGGTGGTGAGGTAGAAAGTTAAGTAAAAAATGATGGGAGCTAGTTAGTTATGG